ATAGCCTATCAACTTAAAAAATTTCCTGATGTATACTACTTAATATTTCTAAATCATATAATCTACAAATCATTTTTTATAAAGTTTATTATATTCAGTATTTCTATATTTATATATGGTACAAGAAAGTAACTTCTTATGAATATATTTGATTGTAATGAAAGTCCAATTAAACATAACTTATAACAGATTCAATTTATATTTAATATGTTGATTTAAAAGTAGCATTAGTTTGATTAATAATTAATAAATCTATTTTATCAAAGAATAATAAATCTCAAGTAACTGTTAAAGAACTTGAATATAAAGTTCATAAGATCTTAAAAAACAGTATGATATATACTATATATATGTATTAAATTAATTTAGTTATATTTAATTAACAGTAGAGATCTTATTACTAGTAATTTAAAAGTGAATATATCTACTTTATAACAATTTTCATATTAAGTACTATCAGCATAATTTATTATAACTATCTTTTAGCAAAAAAATTTCACATAATAATTAATTTGAATTGAGTAAATAGCAAAAATAAATACAAAATAAACTATAAGCCTATATTTAATTAAAATAAAAATAAAAATAAAAAAAATAATAATCATATGTTTTTAATTTGTTATTGATTTTTTCTTTACAATCCAGTATAAATATTCATGATTGATGAATTTTCTTTTAAAAACAGCAAGTCATAAACTATATCTATACTTAAACGATTGCATTTATCTGTTAAAACATTCTTTGCACTAGAAAAGAGCCTTTTTGCAGATACTGATGTAGCAGATATACCAAAAAAAATTTGTGTCTGCTTTGCAAATAGTGGTAAAGTGTTTCGATATTCATTCTACTAGCTTAATAGATTACAAGTTTTATATAATGAATTAGTAATTTCATATTTAAAAATTAATAGTATAGAAGAATATACTTGTAATTCAATATCAAAAGAAGAAGAAAATAATTCAGATTCTTCTTCAAAAAATGAAGACATGTCAGATATTGAAAGTAAGTTAATTGTATTTGACAAGTCTTCAATAATATAATTAATTTTTGTTTGTAATTCATTTATTATTTCATCTCACTTATTAGGTGATGCACCTAATAGTGATTTAAAACAAGGATCTAAAAACATAGCAAGCTACCTAATTATATTAGAGTCTTCCTAATAGTTTGTTATTGATTCATAAATATAACTATATATTTTAATAACAGATGGATGTGTAATTTCATTTTTAATTTGATTAAGATGCTTAAAAAGATGTTGTATAGTAGGATATACTATTCCTAATATTGGATATTGATTGCTGCCAAGGTAAACAGATACTCGAGCAAAAGGGTGAAGAAGGTTACATAATTCAGCCAACCCTTCCTAGTTTTTATTTAAAATTATTTTTTCTTTTAATTTATTACTATCTGATCAAATTACTCTATCAGGATCTTTATCAAATTATTAGCCAATACTACAATTGTTTTACAAAGATCTAAAATTCTTTGGAGAAGAAGAAAAGTAGAGTTCCAACATGTAATGGTGTTACTTGAAATAGGCTCCAATAGGGTTATAGATTGATTTGTTAAATTTGAAGATAAATTTTTTTTTGATTATTTCAGTTTAAATTTTATAGAATCTAAATCTATACTTATTATGATTAACTAAAAAACTATTTATTTTTTTTATTTTATCAATTAAACTAGTATCTTTTTTTAATCTATCTGTAATAGCAAGATAAATAGAATGTGCTGCACATTCCAAATGAGTAACTCCAAGTTGCTTTATTGCTTTAACTATAGATGCAGCATTATCTGTAGTTGCAACATTTAATTTATCGATTATATTCCAATTAGCAAGAATTTTATGCAAAAAATCCTTAATATAGTCATCTGTATAAAGATATTCAAAGTGCTCAATTGTAATTAATGCCTGATTTATAGTAAAATTCTCTATAAGCTAATGAGAAGTTACTTCTATAAATAAAATATGATTATATGTTCACAGGTCTGTTGTAATACACACAGATATTATAGTTTCATTTATTAATTTTTTTAAGTTTAATTATGTATATATCTTTTTTTTTTTAGTATTAAGGTGAGGTCTTGCTCATATCTTTATTAATAGTTTTTAACATAGTAACTACATAGAGTTACTAATCTTTAAATACATAACACATAAAAAGTAAAAACTATATGCAAGAATAAAAGCTCAAACTACTTTATCTGCGATCTAAACCTACTAGAGTAGTCAAAGACTCACCTAGATTGTGATAAATAAAATGTAATTAGAAAATATACTATAATCGATCCATAATGTATTAAAAATTTTGAGTTTGCAAATAGCCTGCCCTAGTGGTAGGCAGGAATTATTGATATATAATTGGTCTGGTTGATTGCATCAGCATAAATAAATATAAGTTTTACAGGTTCATTTTGGGGTTCTGTTATTAGCTTCTTGTAGCTAAAGTTGGTTATAAGATAGAGTAATTTCATGCTGTTTCTTCCAGTTTGAAAAATTGCAACAATATGATTTCTATAATTGTTCATAAATAAGTTCATTAATTTGGAGTAAAATTTTGATAATAATTTGAGATGCTAGTTTATATGGAATATCAAAATTTTGGATAGTTTGAATTAGAGATATAGAGATAAAGCCTTTAAGTATGATATTTAAGAAGGGTTTATGAGGTCTTAGTTATATATTATTAAAGGCTGTATAGTTTTAAATCATCTCAATGAGTTCACAGGTTTGGTCGCTAGATAAGTCTAGTGCTGAGTTGTAAATAAGTCAGAAATAGAATGATTAATAATATTGAAAAGGGTAGTAGAATCAGGACAAACTCTCTAGTATGAAATAAAATCCAAACTATCACAATAGAAGCAGTTAGGATAATTAAAAATATAAGGGTATCTAGTATGATAAAGAAATAAAGCAAGTAGTTCATTAAGTAGAGTTTTAATTTTAAAAGATTTGAGTTGATTAAGTTTAAAGTTAGTATAGTTGTGAGAAGACTTTTGGTTATAATTAAGATATCACCAAGTAGAGCTCTAGTCAATTTGTTGGATGAAAGGTGACCATTCAGTATTATGGTTTTGTGATGACTATAATGCTAGAATATGTGATTTACAGATATTTTTAATAAAGTATCTTATAGGAGATTCAACTGGATGTTGTTCTTACTATATAATATGGTAAGGATTGTAAATATTGGTGTATATGAAATCTAATAGAGGTGATAGTATGTGTTGTTTTGCTAATGTGTCAACTAAGTTGTTGTAGTAATTATCAGTATGAGCTTGAACTTTATGAAAAATGATTTGTAGATTATATGATTTAGAAATATTAAGTAGTATACATCAGGAAATTTTTTAAGTTGATAGGCTAT